CCTCCCCTCCTCCCCCTCCCCTCCCTCACCTCCTCCCTCCCTGCCTTTGCCTTTCTCCCCTCCTCCTCCCTTCCCTACTTCTCCACCTCCTCCCTCCTTCCTTCCTTCATTCCCTCCTCCTTTCCTTCTTCCTCCCTCCTCCCCTCCCTCCTTCCCTCCCTTCTGCCCTCCCTTCCTCCTTTCTTCCCTCCCTTCCTCTCTGGATCCTTCTTTCCTGCCTTCCTTCATCTCTCCTGTCTGTTCAGTTGTCTGTTCTACTCCATTCATTCCCATGTTCTTTATGTTCATTCGCCAGTTTGTTTACTTCCGTCTGTTCATTCCTGTGTCCTCTCTCCTTCCCTCTTTTTATTCATCAGTTCATTCCCGCACTCCTCCGCTCAGTTGTTCATTCACTTTCATCCTTTCATCTGTCCATTTGGTTCGTCATTCACTCCCTCACTCACTCATTCTTTCCCTCTTTGCTCCTTGTGATCACTCACCTTGTTTACTAGTCTCCACACTTGTTTGGGAGCCCTCTCCCCCTCTCTTCTCTCCCTCCCTCCCCTGATGCATCCAGTAATGAGAGGTCAGTGTCTCCCTGGGGATTCAGAGAAAGCTGACTCTGGTCCCGTTCTCCCCCAGCTGTCCCCTCCCTGACATGTGAGACATGGAAAGGTCTACCCGAAAGCTGAGTGGGCAGGAGGCGGGCCGGCTGGCCTGGCAGGGAGGGCTCTCATGAGCTGCTGGCCCCCGCATGGGCAGAGAGAGACTGGGCGCAGCCCCCGGGGGCTTCCCTAGCTCCCCTCTCAGGCAGCCGCTCTTCCCTGGCACAGGACATCTCACACCTGCTGACCAGCCTCTTCAAGAACCTGTACACTCTGGATGTGATTGGAGAAGACATAGGGAGGAACCTCATCAAATCCCGGGGCGGAGAAAACGTCCGACATGAGAAGTTTGTGGACGAGCTGCAGCAGGTAAAGGGAGAAACACTCGGTGCTCTCTGTGGCATCGGGCTGTTCGGCAGTGCAGCCCACAGCCAAAGAGCTTTCTTTCTTAAATTCAGTTTGGAACATAGCAAGCAACAAACACAGGAAAAGACGTTGAAAACTCTGTATGGTTGACATCACATGAAGAGCCACACTTTTCATCAGTTCTTGATGGATTGATCGATAAACATGGATTAAGCACCTCCTGTGTGCCAGGCACTGTGCCAAGGGCTGGGAATACAAAAAGAGGCCACAGACATTCCCTGCCCACAAGGAACTCACAGTCTAAGGGAAGAGAGGGCCTGCAAGCACATCCATACAAAGCAAAGCTCTAGGCAGGCCAAGGAGGAGCTGATTAGTGCAGAGAAGGCCCTGCTGTGCAGAGGGCTTGGGGAAGGCTTCCTGTGGTAGGGGGGAGCCCAAAGGTCAGAGCAGAGGCGGGAGAGCCTTCCAGGCCGGGGGGAGCTCCCGGAGAGGTAGGGCGTGGTTCTGGAGTAGAGTGCAGCCCTTCTGGGCCTGCTGATGGAGTAACTAGGTGAGCTTATGAATCCTTTACAATGTGGCCAGACAGCCTCTGGCCCCGGTGGGCCCAGGCCCTCAGACAGCCTCTGGGGGCCCAGGCCCTCAGACAGCCTCTGG